GGATAGTTTGCCTGTCTGAATTTGAGAAGCATTGGCTTTGTCATCTTGAGGGAATTAGCTGTAATATCCATATTGCCCACATATGTAATATAAAGTGGGTTTTTTTTTCCCTTTTTTGAAGTTTAAAAAGAAGATTTATCCCACCCCAGGTGTGTTTGTGTATCCCAAGACTAGAACTGGTGGGGGCTGGCTTCAACCAGTGGTGAGTAGTGTCTACCAGACCCCTAGAATTCAAAAGGAGAAGACGTCTTGGGAGTTGTGCATACTATATCTGAGGCTCTGAGAGCTTGAGACCTGGGACATGTACATGGTTAGAGTTATCCTTGAAAACTCAGAGCTGTCAGATGAGTCAGTTTCCTTCAAGCAAACTACAAATTACTGAGCAAAATCAAAGAAAAGTGCTGATAACACTGATATGAAGACTAGAGGCTACTTATAATTTTTGAACCAAATATTAGGAGGCTTATAAGATCCAAATATATTGGAGAAGAATAAAATTTAATATCATAACTTTTTCCAATGAGGTCAAGTAAAATTTAATATGAATCAAGAAATAAAGAAAGACAAAAAATATTTTAGCCAGTGTGTCTTGAGGCAATTCATAACATTTACAATACTATTGCATGATCATATAAGACTTTCTTAATGTTATTACATTATATTATATAATTCTATTATAATTTAATACAATTCTATAAAGTGAAATTATAGTTATAATTCAATGTCCCCTCATCTGTGAAGGCTTTTCTCTTTCTAGAGAAAAATAATTGCTACTTTCTCTGCATTTTACACATATACCTATTGTGGGACTTATAATCGACTGTTTACGTATCTAGTTTCATATGAAGCTCTTCCCTCAGGATACAGACCTTGCTTAATTCACCTGTATATCCCCACTTTCTCAAAAACTGTCTGGCACAAAACAGGCGGTAGTGTGTACTGTAGAATTAAATAAATTACTAGATCGTAGTGTGAGAGATCAGGGCAACTGTTGGGATGGAGAAAATTGTTAAAATTAGTTAATTTCTATTAGATGTGAGTGTTTTCTTTTTGTATAAAAAATTAATGTAGTCTGTCTTCCTAAGGAATCCTCTTACATTATTTGACTTTTTATGAGAAATACGTAGCTTTGGATAACATATAATTGGTCTGTGAATTGTTAAATTACTGTCAAGCTATGTATCACGGCAGAAGAGATCCCTGTTTTTGCATCATAAGAAATAAAGTGTGAAATTTTAATGCTGAATTAAAATGTGCAATTTCACGAGAAGAAAATATGAGAATCTTATTAACACCTTCAAAAAACACTTCCTCTAAGAAATATACCAGTTTTCCTTCATGGCCAAAAAAGCAACATATTTTAATGGAAATTTAAAAACTACTTATAAGCCAGTTTTTAGTCATTAATATTAGAATCTTTGGAGTTTAAATAAAAAGTAACTATCTGTTAAAGTGACTTTAAGTATATTTTAATACATAATTAAAAGTAAAAAGTACATTTTAATTCAGCAAAATAAACTTTTTTGAAGAAGGCATTTCTCATTTTTATTAAAATTTAGTTTTATAAAAACCCAAAAGTAGTTAAAACCAAACACCTACTTAAAGGCAATGCACTTGCTCTTCTGAGAATTTTTACTGATTTTTGGTATTCTATACCTGTAGGTTTTGTCTCTTCACAACTACCACTACCATGACAACACCAACACCACATTGCTATGTACTGTGCCCTTGCTCTGTGCTTGACATGGCACAAGAAATGGCAAATGTGATCTCATTTTCCATTCATGTATGAGACTAGAAGGAATGCAGAAATAATAGGCGTCATTAAAAATAAGTATATATTAGTATGAGAAGTGTATATTCTGAAAGACCTCAAAGATAAGGTCTCCATTTGATAAGGGTAGCTTCTTACCTGTCATTATTAGCTAACGTCAGAGTCTGAGCTGCTGCCTGGCTCCTCTCCTTTGAATGTTAAAGTGACTTTTAGGCATATGCTAGATCATAGTATATTAAATCTTTAAAAAGATAATTGTATTAATATTCATCTATTTATATTTAAGGAGGTTTTTTATACTGTGCCAAATTAAAGAGCTTTAATAAATGTAGGTGATCATTTGGCAGCAGGAAGACAATATACAATGATCTCCCAGTGGAAGAACTGCAGAGAGTGAAATATATGATTTTCACTCTCATTATCACAGCATATTAGATCTTTTTGTATTTTAATGTTTTCAAAGAGGATAGAAATTATTTTTCACATATGAGATAAGCCCTAATTGAAGTGAAAATAGAGTAGTAGGGAAAGTTTGAGAAAGCTCAAAAGAATGTAGACAAGAGAAAAACTTTTGAACCTCAAAGCCAGGACTTCTGACTTCTAAGACCAACCTGTTAAAGAGGTCACTTGTGTCTGTGAGCCTCTTTCCAGGCTGCTGTGATCTCAGTCAAACAGATAAGAGAAATGATTATGAAGTCAACTCAACTCTCAAACACAATGGTGATCTAAGGGGACCTGCCTGTGTAGGAAAAAGATGCCTGGCAGGAAACACACACTGAGAAGGAGGATAAAAATTGAAGAGAGACAAAGTGAGTGGGCTGGGAGGCTGGAGTCCAGAAGGAGGTTGGAAAAGCTTTTCCAAGCCAGTCTACTGCCTGCCACCATGGGTGAGAGAGCATTAGGGGGACAAACACTCCTGGATTCTCATTGTGACTTTTCTATTAACCAACTGCATTGACCTCAATGAACCTGAGTGAGTCCCTTCTTCTTCCTAATTCTCTCAATTTAACAAGCATGTATTAGGTAGTTATTAAGATCAAGGCATCAGGTTAGTGCCAGAGAGCAGCATTTCTCCATGGGTGGGACATGGATTAAATGCATCAGGCTCTGCTTGGTCCCACCCCAGAACTAGCAAAGGAGAATCTCTGGAGATGGGTAATTCCTGCATAGTTTTTAGGCACATGAAAGTTCGAAAGCCAGTTTTTAGCTAGAGAATAAAAAGATGAGTAAGATGCAGTTTGTACCTTCAAAAATATCATATTCTGATCTACTTTTCTTTTCTTTAAAAGGGGCCTTTGTACTAGGTGATTTCTAAAAGCTTTCTGATACTCATTTTACTTTAATTTTTTTCTAACAGAATTAACATTTTGCAAGGTACTGACACTTAATAAGAATAATTTTAGTTATGTGACCTAGTTCTACTACCCAGCCATTTTTCATGTGCTTTGAATAAACTGCATGATTTCTTAGTCTCATATTCTCATTTGGAAGAAAGTTTAAAAAGTGACCCAACCATAAAAACCATCAAGAATGTTACAATAATCTCTGGTGATTTTCAACAGCACCAGACAGGCATGGAATCAGGAGTTAGTGAACTAGGTTCTGCTTCTAGCAACTAGTTGCCTGACCTTGTGCACACAATTTCAACTCTCTTGCTTCAGCTTCCTTTTTCTAAGATGAGGGGCTAGATCATTCATGTTCCAAAGTCTCTAAGTATTCAGATGACAAAGCCTCTATGGCTCTATGACTCTTAAAACTGATGAAAAACTTTTGGTAAACACCTCTCATTTGTAAGCCCATACCAGAGTCTATGAAAAATAAAATTCACATACATGGACATTGCTCTTAGGAAATGTATAAACTCTCATTGGTTTTACTAGTGACCCGTCTCTTGCTTTTATTTATTCCTCTTCATTCCTACCACAACTGCCTTAGTCCATACCCTTTGAACTTGGACCACTGTGACAGCTTCCTAATTTCTGTTTCTTGCTAGGCTATCTACAATTCATACCACCACTAGGGGCATCCTTCAGTAACATGGATAAGATATCACTCACTGCTTTAAAACCCCTTAGCGGTGCTAGATCACCATTGTTTTTTGTGGCTGAGTAGAACTTCATGGTAATCCACTCATGTATTGATGGGCACTTGGGTTGTCTTGTATTATTCTGGATAGAGATGGAGCTCTACTAAGTGAAGTATCACAAGAATGGAAAAACAAGCACCACATGTACTCACCATCAAATTGGTATTAACTGATCAACACTTATGTGCACATACAGTAGTAACATTGATCAGATGTCAGGCAGGTGGAAGGGGGTAGGAAGGGATTGATATATTCACACCTAATGGGTGCAGTGTGCAGCATCTGGGGGATGGATACAACTGAACCTTTGACTTGGGTGAAGAAAAGGCAATATATGTAACCTAAACATTTGTACCGCTGTAATATGCTGAAATAATAATAATAATGAAAAAAAAAAACCCTCAATGGTTCTCCTGTGCTTACAGGCAAAGTCCAAACATGTAGAAGAATGTCACACAGAACTCTACCATCACTGCCAGCGTCTTTGTCCAGTGTCATCTCTGACCACTGCTTTACTGGAGCTTTGTGTCTATCGACCAACCCTAAATACATCTTCTGTGGTTTCCCCAAATGGGTTATAAACTTTCATGTTTCCCATGTTCTACTTTCTGTCTGGAATTCCTTTCAACTCCTTATCTGCCTAACAAATTTTATAGCATGTTATGAATATCTCTATGATATTAATAATTGTTATGTTTTTCCACATGCTTCTTCTCTGGTAGATTTTAAGAAAAATAAAAGCTAGGACTGTGTTTCATTTACCTTTGTATTTTTCAGGCCTACAATAGTGTCTCATGCATAGTAGATGTTCAACAAATGTTTGCAAATATAAATTCAAGTGGCTAGAAATACCTTCAAATATATAATAATTCCAAAAAAAGAAAAATACAAAACCCTATAAGAGAATATCCTACCACACATCAATTCAATTTTATTTATATTTAAATGAATTTGCTTTTCAACAGAGATTACAGAAAACTTATAAGAGGTTTTGAATACTCTTTGACATGGGCATTAAAAAATGTGCACTGTAAATTAACATTGAATAGACATGAACTAATAATTGTTCTTATTTAAACAATGGGTACATTGGAAAGGCCAATGGTCAGGGATAAGTTTTACAAGTGAGACAGCTCTTACCTGTTAGATCTGCATTGGGCCACCACCCCAGGTCACAAGCTTTGCAAGTGAACTCATCTTGCACATATTCATTCTCTTTGCAGGCCGTGCAAATCCAGCAGCAGCTCACTTCTCCTTTCCTTATGACCTGTAACATAGGAGGGACATTTCACACATCTTCAAGATGGTTTCCCCAGAAAAGCTTCTATTTTAGATGAGGACTTGTTTTCATACTATGATTAAAGAAAAAAAAAAAAGGGGGACCTTTGGAAAATACCCTATATGCTAAGGAACCTTAAATATGTAGACTGAAATGTATTCGATTATCTTAGGTTACAGATATGAATGTCAATTTAGTCCATGCTGGATTTGGAAACTTTTCAATAATAATTTCTTTTATGGATAGAATTAACTGTATTATTTTTGCAGAATTAAAAAATGAAACAGTTTAATTTTGTCCTTATTTGTATATTAGTATTTATTATTCTCAAAAATAAAAATTAAACATTTTTCTTCTCTGATAAAGCAAGTAATGTTTAACAACAAAAATTCCTATGCAATAAAACCTTAATAATTCATAAAAACAGGAATTATTAAATTTTTGTTGTAATTATGAAAGATTTAATTATAGACAATTTCATTCATGAGCAGCTTTAATATAGATTAAAACGGAGTCATAGCTAAGAAAGTATAACCAAGTGTTGCCCTGATTTGCTCTAGTGAATTCAAAAGATCACATCAATTGTTGGAAGAATAATTACTAATCGAAAAATCACTGAAGAGTTGCAGAGTTGCTTATTATCTTAGCAATTTAAGCTTTTCTGACTTTCAATTTGTTTGGTAAATACTTCCACACTTACACAGCATTAAAGTGAGTTTCTTTCAGACAGCACACAATTAGGTCTTGCTTTTATCTCCAGTCTGGCAATTTCTGCCTTTTATTGTTTAGTACTTTTACATTTATTATAATAATTGGTATGGTTGGATATAAATCAATCATTTCTTCATTTTTTTTCTGTCTGTCCCATCTGTTCTTTATTTACTTTTTCCTATTTTTCTGCCTTCCTTATTAGCATTCCATTTTATTCTCAATAGTGGCTTACTAGATACACCTCTTTGTTTTGTTTTAGTGGTAGCTCTGTGGTTGATGATGTACACCACTAACTTGTTACAGTCTATATTCAAATAATATTGTACTACTCTATATATAATGTAAGAACCCTACTCAATATCCTGCCATTTCACCCTCTTGTCCTTTGGATTATTGTTGTAATACATTTTACTTACACATGTTTTATGGCTTCTACCCCAACAATAAATTGTTATTAATTTTGCTTTAAACAGTCAATTATCTTTTTAAAAATAAGAAAAAAGCATTATTGTGTTTTATATTTACCCATACATTTATCATTTGTGGTTCTTTTCATTCCTTTATATAAATGCAAGTTTTTGTCTGTTATAATTTTCTTCTCGCTGAAGAACTTTCTTTAACACTTACGGCAGTGCTGGCCTGAGACTATGATGTCTCTCAGGTTTTATTTATTTAAGAAAGTCTTTTATTAAGACAAAATAAAGGGAAAACATTTATTTTGCCTTAATTTTCCAAAAACAATATTTTTACTTGGTCTGAAAGTTTAAGTTGACACTATGTATATTTTTTTTTCTTTCAGTGATTTATGCCATTTTATTGTCCAAGGGAATAGAATTCTAGGTTGAAATTTTTTTTTGTTTTCAGAACTTTAATGATATAATTTCTTTCTTTCCTCACATACAGTTTCTGATGAGAAGTTTACTCTAATTATTTTCTTTCTTGTATGTTACCGGCCTTTTATTTTGGATATTAGTATTTTTCTTTTTATCAGCAGTTTTTAACAACTTAATTATAATGTCTTTTTTGTGTTTATCTTGCTTGGGATATGTTGTTCTTTATGGATTTGGGCTTACATTTTCATTACACTTGAAAATTTAGCAGCCATCGTTTCTTTAGGTTGTTCTTTTGTTTTTGTTTTTCCTGACCCGCTTTTCTCTCCCAACCCTTTGGAGCTTCAGTTGCACTTATAATATACTCACTGATATTACTATATAAAGTACTGAGAGTTTGCTCATTTCTTTTAGTTTTAGGGGCTTTTTTTCCTCTCTGTACTCCATTTGGCTGTTTCCTATTGCCATGTTTTTGAGTACACTGATCTTTATTTGTATAATGTCTAATATGCCATTAATCCAATCTATTAACATATTCTTTCTTAGACATTTTATTTTTCATGTCTATAACTTGCATTTTGCATTTTTTCTATTTTAATTTTTCTTTTCATTATATTTATGTTTACTATTGCATCTTTTAGTATGTATTTATAAAAGGTGCTTTTTAATGTCCTTGACTGCTAATTCCAGCATCAATGTAATTTTTGGAACTATTTCTATTGCTTGGTTTTCTTCCCGATAATGTGTCATATTCCCACTTTGTCACTTGTCTTTAAATTTTTGACCAGGTACTAGACATTGTATACATTAAGGCATATAGTGCTGGATTTCTCTTCCTTTCTTTCTCTCTCAGTCTTTCTTTCTTTCTTTCTTTCTTTCTTTCTTTCTCCTCTCTCTTTCCTCTTCTCCTCCTTCTTCTTCTTCTTTCTTCCTCCTTCCTTCCCTTCCTTCCTTCTTCCTTCCTCCTTCCTCTTCCTTCTCTCTTTCTTTCTTTCTTTCTTTCTTCTTTCTTTTTCTTTTCTTTTCCTTTCTTTTTTCTTTGTTTAGCCTTTCTATTCTTGAAGACGGTTATATTACTTATGGCTCAGTTTGCTCCTTTTTGAGCTTTGTTTTTAATCTTTTAGAACAAGTCTAAAATAGTTTCTGGTTTAGGGATAGTTTAGCCTCGTTATTAAGGTACGACCATTCAAGAATCTTTAGTTAATTCCTTGTGTATTCACAAGATATCTCTGCTTCTGCTGGTGAAACTGGGACAACTTCTGCTCAACTCCTTAGCAGTTTTCTTTACCTGGACTTTGAATTTCACTCTGCTCACATGCAGATTGATATCATCAAAGGCACAAGGGAACTCTACGCTATTTTCTGAGACCTTTTTGTGCATAGATCCACTTTCATTCTCCTTTACTCTGCACTGCAAATTCTAAGTGCCTTGTCTTCCAAAACTTGATCTCTCTTCTTAAATTAGCAAGATGGCCAAGCTCTATTTACCTTCTCTCTTACTGAACAACAATCAGGAATTGCCTCAAGCAGAAAGCCTGAGTGATTTTAGGGTTCACCTTGTTTACTTCACTTCCATGAGATCAAGGTCATGTACTGTTTTCTAATGTCTGAACAAGGTTGTTTCTACATTTTATCAAGATTTCTTGTTGTTTATAGCAGAAGGCTAATTTGGACTCTGTTATTCCTCATGTCTTAGAGCGGAAAGTCCTCTCTAACATGTTAAAAATGATCAAATATTCCACAGGTAAAGTCAGAATAAACCATAAATATTGCCATACTATTAAATAATAGAAACCCTAGCATTCATGAAAACAAAATTGTCTTCTTGCAGATCAGGTTGAATTTTATACCACTATTTTAGAATGACAAAGATTAAATGACAGAATATTTTCAGCAAATATAAAAGGTTTTCCTTTTTTTTTTTACTCTCAACTTTTAAAAGTAGAATCAAATTAAGTCTTTTGTGAAAAAAATTCACATTTATCCTCAGAATAGGCATGGGAGATTTAAATTCCAAATGATATATTTTTATATGACATGAGAAAAATTAAATTAATAAATAAAACATACTTTCTTATTTTAATTAGGATAAGCAATACACTAAGAGCCATTACAAAATATTGCATGTCACCTCAACCAGCTTTATCTTTTTCTATCCCTATAAAATTAGTACTATTAGTTAAGCAAATTCAAAAGATGGTAACACTAAGCAAATTTACTTATGCCAATACTGGTGAAAATAGATTCTGTGTTAAATACTATAAAGTACTTAACATTAGCTTTTGACTGACTGAATAAATGAATGAATAATTTAACTTATATCTTTAATACAGTATGAAAAATGGAGATGCTTAAATGCAGTTATTTTTTTTATCACTCCTTTATATTGCTACCAGGTATGGGTACCAGTATGCAATGCTTATAGTACAGGATTTATCTTTTCTATCTTCACAGCCACCCCTCTAAACTCAGACTTTTTAACATCACACCTAAATCATCATCCCTGCCTGCTGATCATATAATAACATGCTCATGATATTTTTCTTACTCCAGAGTAACATGCACGGAGCTGCCAAGATCATCTGAATGCCCTGTGGGTGACTCAAGGGAAAGGACCATGCCACACTTTCAGTGATTTCAGAACATTGTGGTCAAGGTGCAGAAATACACCAAGAACACAGAGAAGAAAGCCAATGAATGAGTGTTGAATTAAATATTTTTAAAAAATGTAATTAGGCCACTCAAAAAACTTTGGTGTCTCCCTATTCAAAATACCCTTGAAATATAGGCTCTTTAGTCAGGCATTCACTTAGGCACTAGCCCTTGTTTCTGCACCTAACTTCATCTGTTATTAAATTCATACATAAGTCTGCCAAACAAGAAAGAGCAGCCTCTGTGCTAGAATGCACATTAACTTTTATTTAAAATGTTGTCTTTCCTCCATCAGTCCATCTATAACACTACTTTCAAGACAAGACACAAAAGTCACATGTTCTAGCAAGTGTTCCTGGAGCGGTGAGCCCTTCAAACTATTACCTTAATTGGAACTCTCTAATAATTAAAATATAGTATGGTTAACTTCTGTCCTCAATTGTTTCACATATATGTGGTAGATATGTTTCATTCACACACAGGCTCTTTTTTTTTTTAATCCTTAGGTTATTATCTCTTATTTCTGTTCTAATCTCTCCCAAGATCACAAATGCTGTTTTCATTATTTTTATTTTTATCATAGTAACTGATATTTTTTCGTATGAAGTATACACTTAATAAATGAATAAAATATTGTTTACTTTTTGTCATACTAAAACATTTTTTATGACAGCTCTGAGTCATGGCAAAAGTTTTGATATTTCACTGAAACTTGCCTAGAAGGACTAAGGCTTTTAAAGATGCAGGCTCTTCGTACATCCATTGTACATGGTGCTATGTTTGTTAGTCAGATTA